TTTTTTTAAGTGGCGCGGAGGCGTTGAGATGTGCTTCTGTCTTTGGCAAAGGGCTTCTAATTCTAAGAAATAAATTAAGAAACGGCAAGAAGAACCAGTAGCTTTGCTAGCTAAGCATGCAATTCTCACTTGGGTTGTCATCTGGAAAAGCAGCCCACTCACATGTCATTTTTTGGGCACATAAATACAAATTTACCTATAGCAGAAATATGGAGCCATGTGTACATACATATCTACATTAGACACTTTTTTCCACCAAAACTTAATTGCATATTTTCATTTTCTTTCTGTCTCTTCACAGCAACTGCCAACGCAGAAACACTACATACTCGACACACAACCTGCTCCTGCTCCGGCGCCTGCGCCTGCGCCTGCGCCCGCGCCCGCGTTGTTAACGCTCTCCTCCACCAGCTTGCCGGCTGCAGCTGGAGCACAGCAACAGCCAATACACATCCCAAAGCTGCGCAAGTCAACTAGCTTACAACAACAAGATCTTACTTCATACGAGGAACAAAAACAACATGCGCATAAACAACAACGAAAACATACAAATTTGAAGAGTCAACAGACAGCAGCAACAGCGCATGCAAAACTACCATCACCATCTGCATCACATCAAACGGTAAATGCGCGGGCGGCAGTAGCACCTGCACCACCCCCACTGCTGCCATCATCAGCCACAATCGCAGCCGCACATATACACACACATACACAAACAACTTATATCATACGCAAGGATATAGCAAGTTTTAATTTCTCCCACATTGAGGTGAATGAGGAGGATGCAACAGCGGCGGCACGGCTGGACGATTTGGCGCGGCGCAGCCGAAATGGTGAACTGTTGCACGATTTGTGGCAGCGTGCCGTTACAGCGACGCCACAACCGCCGATCACTGAACTCGATGACATTTTCATTAGCGTCAAGACAACGAAAAATTATCACGACACACGTTTGGCTTTGATCATCAAGACGTGGTTCCAGTTGGCGCGCGATCAGGTGAGTGCGAGTGCTAAATAGTTTGCAACAATGTATGTATTTGAGTTCAGGGGCTTGACTACGATCAGTGCGATCGGAAAGATCTGCTAGCTGGGTATAACAACTAATTGGTGCAATACGAGTGCTTGGGGGAAGCTACGCGAAACCTTTGGCTAATGATTGCATTGCTGATCGCTAATTATGAGCAAACCTTTGCTGGTTGATTTTTACAATGGCGATCAGGATAAGTTGTGAGGCGTTAATGAGGTTAAAGTATTTGATTCGGAGTGATGCGATCGTCGTGTTGGCCATTGTACATTTTTAATTTCCATACGCTTTAACGTTTACATTTACTTTCATATATAGACATTCACTGCGAGAAGATCATTTTATGAATCATAGCAACGCTCAAATGCATTTCCCTTACCCCACGTTTCCATCTTCTACTAAATGTATCTTAACCTCTGTCGAATTTCTCAGTTCTGATGTGTTAAGATAGCGAGGGTAAGAAATTCGGCAAGACTGATATGGAGTTCTGCTCTTCGATTCGTGAGAAATCAGCGAATCGTATATACTCTCTCGCATTTTGGAAATAAAGTTGCTTTCCAAAGAATAGAATCTACACAGAACAGAATCGAACTAAAACAAGTAAGAAAGTCTAAGTTCGGGCGGAGCCGAACATTAAATACCCGGCGCAAGTATTAAATATATGTTTTTTCACCTTTCCGAAACCTTCCGCTAGATGGTAAGCCGGGGTGCATCAATTTTGAGTAAATTAGCGTCCTTCAATTTCGAAATATTGAAGTTTCAAGCATTTCTGAAATTTACCGTTATATGAGAAGCGGCCGTTATTTTAGTCCGATTTCAATAATTTTCAACGTTTTGCTTATATGTGCCAAGAACAATAACCACACCGAGTTTGGTACAAATTGGCGGAACGGTTACCGATATACTTATATGTGATCATAAGTAGGCCATGCCACGCCCATTTTCCAAAGTTTTACCATAATCGTATTTCTTGGTAAAGAATTGTTGCAAGCATCAATTTTGAATAAATTAGCTTCAATATTTACTGATTTATCGAAGATTTTGTATTTCTCTAAATTACCGTTATATGGGATATGGGCGTGATTATTGTCCGATATTAAAAAGTTTCGGCGATTTTTTATGCTGTACCAAGGCCAACAACTGTGCCAAGTTTGGAAGAAATTGGTGCAGCGGTTACCAAGATATACACATGTAACCATAAGTGGGCGTGGCTACGCCCATTTCCAAAAAATTTATAATATTCTTATTTTTCGTCTAAATATTATTGTAAATATCAATTTTGAGTGAATTATCTTCAGTAGTTACTAAAATATCGCAGTTTTCGTATTTCTGGAAATTACCGTTATATGGGAAGCGGGCGTGGTTAAAGTCCGATTTCGCCCATTTTCAATACCAACCTACCTTGGATTAAGGGAAACCTACATACCAAATTTCGTTGAGATATCTCAATTTTTGCTCGAGTTATCGTGTACACGGACGGACGGACAGACGGACAGACGGACGGACAGACAGACATGGCTTAATCGATTTCTTTTTTCATCCTGATCATTTATGTATACATTTGTCTATATCTATCTCGATTCGTTTTGGCTGTTACAAACAACCGTTATGTGAACAAAATTAATATACCCTTGTGCACAAGTGCGCTCGGGTATAAAAATTAGGAATAGGTATGTCTGGGTTTCAGCCTCCAACGCCTGTACACGTCCCTAAAAAGCATGAGCAAATAGTTGGGAAATTAAAGCTACCCTTGGCATTACCTTAATAAAAGTAGAGATTAATTTGTTTTTCACATGCCATTTTTTAAAAGGCACTGATTTGTTGTAATTTCAACCCCTAGAAGAAATTCCGCATTCGGTTTCATTACTGAATGGTTCCTAAAACAAAAGTTTTGGTCGACGGTAAGGTTAAGTTAGGTGGCAACGCCATGTAACCGGGGCTTACTCAGACAATTAGTAGGTTGTCCTTTGTGATACCACATTCTGAAGGGCACGCAATACTTAATCGATAAAACACCCCGACCCGAATATGTTTTTACGAATTTGGCTAATTTCAAGGCCCCTGAGCTCCTCGGGGCTATTTAGGGTGTGAGAGCCGAAGTACTTCAACTTTATCCCCGATAACGTTGAGCACTTAAGAAGGTAACTTTGAGGAGATTGCACCTCGTCATCTTCCAGCCTTCCTGACTGTCATGGCACTCTGATAGCAGTCGACGGAACTCTTTTGAATTGTGGCGAAGATTGGAGTTTTGGTTCCAAATAATAGATAAACCTATGCTGAGAACCTCTTTCGAAAGAAAGTATGTCGTTGGCTTTCCTACGAGGAAGCTATGGAGATGTCTCGAAACTCTAGTGGGGAACTCGGTAACAACTTTCAATATCGACGACTCAAAGACTGAAAATGGGTAACATCAGATTTTCTGCTTTATGTAAAATGATAAAAAAATTTCTCAATTGGAGGTCTTAGCTATACCTAGCTTAGAGAGGAGAATTGCAACTCTTCAAGAAGTGCCGAGCTATGTATAATGTAAACTCCTGTAAAGAAGACAAGTGTTTCCTGAAAAAGGCCAGGCTAGGCAGTGGCGAAATTTCTTCTCAAACAGGGAAGGATGTTGTTATGAGCTATGACTGGACTGATTACGGAACGCAATTTTTAAGGACACATTTTTTTCGCTATGGCTGTCGTCGACAATGCACATCTGGGGTGCAAGGATAGTAAAAAGCATTTTCTCTGTACCTACGCATTCGGCGTTCGCTGGACATCTTTGAGTCAGATGTATTTAGATTGGAAAAGTAACATTCCTCTTCCCTGCAACGCTCTCCTTTTCCCTCATAATTTTAGTACAGTGCAAAAACATTCCCTACTGCGTTTGAAGCATATCTCCTGTACTCCAAATGGAACTATGTAATCATCAAGAGAGCTCTTTAGGAATTTTCTTTGACCATAGAGATGACTTAAAAGATAATTTGTACCCCTTAATGATTCCCTAGCTAATTAGTTAAGAGCACTGGTATATCTTAATAAGATATCTGCAGCCGGATTTCTATACTCTCTATCGTTAATTTTGATCGCCAAAAATCTTAAAACTTTTAAACACCACTGCTTTTCATTTAGAGAATTTTGGCGACGAAAATTTAGCGTAGCGCGTATCAGAATTGTACAGCTGAAAGGTCTTTGGTATCTTAAAAGATATTCCCTAACTAACTATGCCCAAGACGCCCTCGGCTTTCGTAATGAATCCTAAATGGTCTGTGGTAGTCGAATTGCTTATTAATAAGGATTTGACCATCGAAGCTTTAGAATAACGTAATCTTTGTGCAAACAAGGCTGGACAAAAGAATGGGTTCAACAATGTTCTCGTCCTCAAGGCAGAGTGGGCAATCTGCATCATCTCGACAAGGTAACCCCTAATTTTTTTAACTCTTTCTTATTCAAATAACTTACCTCTAACAGTTAATTTACTACAACGTTGAGTTCTACTGTATTATTGCACACAAATATTCATACACACAAATGCCCACTGATATTTTGATATTTTTCTTTCCCCAATTAGAATAAATTTCAACAAGTTTTCTTTAAGTTGGTTTTGTATTTATGCGCCGCTATAAAAATCAGCATCTCAATCGACAGCTAATGCGGCTAATGATCTTGTCTCGATATTTGCATAATGGATTTTATCGCGAGTATTATCACATTGGGTTTTAAAATGAGCTATATACATATGTACACATATGTATGTGTTTATATTGGCTGGTAGTATAGGAAATATTAAGAAGAAATGAGCTTATAAACAATTCAATTCTATTCAGAGCTGAAATATTTACATATGTACATATGTAAATAGGATCCAAAAAATTTTCAAATATTTAAAATGAAAGATTAATGCCTTTGCAACGGTCGTCTTCGTAAAAGACACAGCTATAAAATAGTTTTAGAAGGCATACTAAAATTAACACAATAAAATAAACTTATGCTCAAGCATATATATGTACATATATATATGCATATATGTATTTATAAAAATTTATGTGTTTGTAAAATTGAGCTGTGTGAACTCAAATATTTTAGTTCGAGTCTCTGTGCGCGAACAAAGGCAGTTTGTGTCTACATAAAATCCCATCTACAGAATTACTACAAAAACTGAATAAGTAGCAGTGTATTTCTCTCTTTTATTATTGAAATTTAATTAAGTGAAAAGGAATTCTACTTGCCACTTCATAAATCAAAATATCCAACTACAACTGTTTCTGCTTTTTCGTTGCACCGACAAAAATGCGTTTCCCTTCATTTTCCAAACAACTACTAAGCGGCGCTATTTGTTTGCAATGGAACTGCATGTACATACATACATACATATGTATGCACTATATGTTTGCATATAAATGCAGAAATGCAGCTTATGTTGCACCAGTTGTTATTGTATTATACGATAATAAAAACATATGTTTTTGTGGTGCGATATTTCTCCCCTAGATCTCATAGTGTGAAGAGGGCGTTAAGATTATGTCAATTCAATATGCAATTGCATACATATGTACATACATATGTATGTAAGTAGACAACTCATTTGGTTATTCTTTAGGGGATTCTTCAAACGTAAGTCGCATGAGAATCTTCGATTTTCTGTGGGAAGACTGCTCCCTCTCTTTTTTTTTTAAATTTTTATCTATTTATACATACATGTATGTACATACATACATATGTATTTGTACTTCATTTATGTATCTGTAAAACAAGGGGGTGCTTGTCGGAATTCTTTAATACGTGGGAATCTCTTAGCAAGGCATAAGTATGTGAAATTGTTAATGGTTTTATTAAATCAAATGTGTGTAAACTTCAATACCTCAGCACTTATGTATGTATGTACACATGGGCATGTCCTTACTTCTACAGAAAGATGTAAAATACTTAAAATTAAGACATTATTCTTTGCTCAAATGTGAGGTTATCAGCGGTTAGTCGTTTCGATCGGT